AAATTTAAGCGTTAGTGTTCATCCTGCTGTGAAAAAAACTACACAAAAAACGTGTGCAGTAGGTAGCAAATCTATGCACTTGGCTTCTGACATCTTCGTGAATTCATTTAAGTTTCGAAGACGAATAAGTGAACGTACGTTTGTTTTCGATAATTGTCATCAGGCCTTTATATTTAAATGGTAATTAAATAAATAATCTAAGCGGGTTGGCGAAAAATATTGTACGGTTGTCAGGGAAGGGGGAAGAGGGGGGTCGGACTCAAAATCTGACCAGCGTTAGGAGGCACTGGTAATCGGCCGAGGTGATAAGCAGCTAGCTGTTGGATTAGCGGTTTATGCCCAAGCTGACAGCGGCGCCGTGACGAAGTTCTTTTGGGCGCAAAGGACCGGTCGCCCTAACCAACAGACGCTGTCCAAGAAATTTTGAGTAGCTTGAGGGTACCTTGTAGTTTGCCATGAAGAATATAGAATTCATTTACCCGTGTTTATAATTAGCGGGGCCTCTGATATCTTATACTTCCATAAGTGTAAGAGTAATGCTTTTAAACTATGTGTATGTATGGATTTCAGCGCAAATAGTTAGATCGGCTTTCGGATAGGAAAAGAAATGTTGGGGTTGCGCATTTTTCTTGGGTCTTCATCTATTTGCTCGATAAAAAATTTAACAATTCAAACTTCGATTTATCGTTCAAGCAGTCTCGAAGAAAAGGTCCAGAGAGTGTGCAGACCCTGGCGGGCGTGGGATGGCGACTTGAACATAAATAAGTTTGTAATGATAGCAGACTTGCATAGCCTCTGCTTCACTAAAGCGAGAGTGGTAGCAAGGAAACTGTTGGAAAGGCTGCAGCTGGTCCTCAGCGCAATCGCTTGTTAGCTTTTTAGAGTTTATGGGGTTATGCCGAGTAGATCGGCATTTTTCCAGAGTTTTTTTAAACTGCTTGGTGGTACGGAAATTACCAAAGCGTCAAATCACCGTCATTTTTTAATAAATACAATGAAAGGTGTGTTAAGTGCTGAGCAGACCTACAGCCACAGCTGGATGTACACCATATGTTAACCCGTTATAATGACGTTATAATCACTAGAGTTCTACAGGTCATATATTTTCTTGCGTACCTTGGGACACTGACAGGTTTCACTTTTCTGCCTTGCTTACAGGAAGGCTTGCAGGCGTGAGATTTCCACTTAAAACTGTGGTCCATGTTTTTTGAGCTGGGGTTGCTCAACTGGTTTCTGACTAAATATTTAATTTTATCTTTTGAAAATCCTCACCTTTTATAAGTCGCGGCCAATGACAAACATGCCTCCTTTTCTTTTCTGATTAATTCTCCTCCGTGCCTAATTTCGTACATTTTTCTATTGCCTGGTAAACATTTGCGATAGAAGAAAGTTGTAACAAAAAGGTGAAGGCTCGATCATTGGGACAAATGGGCCTCGTAGAAGAGTCCATCTTGCGAGAGAATGAGAGAATTGTAGCGAGAAGTGACGTCTTGGTATCACAGCGACCTGGAGGAAAGAGGGAGGGGTGGAGGTTGGGAGGAGGATGAAGCATTCGTTCACGACTACGCCATCTCACATCGTCGTCACGACATGCGTTCTTGGCTGAGAACTGGGCCGCGTTTCTGACTCTCGCGAACGCAGGGCGTGTTCCCAAGGCGCTAGTTCAATATGTCTGTAGATGAAGTTAGAGTCAGATACCAAGGCCTACAACAGTTCTCACCCCGTCTGTTAACCTGCTCGCGCCACTCATCCTGTGT